TTCTATTACAGACAGTAAAAAGAAGATTCCTTAGTATTTCCTTAAAGATATTAGTTTTATAGGCAAATTTAATATTGTTTGATACAATAAAATTTCAAAAAAATAATTTGTGAAAGTAGGTAAGTAAATACTTCAATTGGGTAAATAATATAAATTTGTTTATAAATTGCAAGAATAATTATGCCAATACTGATATATTTATTAATAATAACAATACTTTTCCGTTACACTATAATAAATTTAAAACGCGTGGTATGAAACTTATTTTACCGTTGGAAAATCCAACAAACACTTATTTCCTCATATGAAAGTTAATGTTTTATAAAATAATGCTAATAAAAATAATAGACCATTAAGTAATATTTAAATATTACATTTTTTAATTTATTTACCATCGAAATATAAAAACTTGGTAATAAATTAGTATATTGTTTAAAGAGCGTGCCAAATTACAACCAAAATTGAGTTAAGGTTTTTAAGATATTTACGAAAAACCAATTGAAAAAAAAAGTTTAACACCCTGTATCTTAAAAACGAAGAATTTGCGAATAAATCTTTATATGAACTTTGTGTATTATAATCACTTAAATATTACATTTATTTTACATACTGTATATTAACAGTTGATTTAAAAATATTGCATACAAACTATTATTTTTATTGCAAAAAAATACCATTACCAATAAATAATTTCAAGACTTGTGGAGCATACACACTTGTGTTAAAATATGAGGAAATTATACTTATGTTGGTTTTAAAATAATTATAACTTATTTTCATTACAATCTTCAAGCATCGTGTTAATAATTTTAATTATTGACAATTAAAAGATAAATCGATTTTCCTGAAATTACATCATAACGTTTAATATTTTAATTAAATATTAGCTTAAATTTTATATGACCTAATTAATTTAATAAGTAGGTAGGTATGTAATGACTTATGTTAATTTGCTTATTAACAATATTCTTAACATAGGTAAGTTTTATAAAAATCTAAATATAGACAAAAATTTTAAATAAATATAAACAATAAAAAAAATATTAATTTTAAGTGTATATGCATAAAACTTATATCGTTTTAAAATTGAAAAATGAATCATTTAAATTTAATTAAACTACTTAAAAATCATAGGGACTACGTAAAAACTATAGTAAACTATGGTAAAAAACAATACATTGCTATTTTGTAAATGTGTTCAATTTTAATTGTAGACAAAAGTAACTAATTTATATAAAATATGAAAGTCAAGTAAATTAAATTAAAAAGTGAATATTTAAAAAATGACGAATGCGCCGGGTTAAAAGTTCAAAAAAAAATGTTATCAAAGAAGCTGTATTTTTTTAACTATTGATCTGATCTTGATTGGTTTTCGAGATACAGGGTGTTAAAGTTTTTATTTCGATTTTTATTTTTTTAGACAATTTGGGCATTTTTGTTTTCGAGATACAGGTTGTTAAAGTGTTGATTTTTATAATTTTTTTTTAATCGAAGTCATTTAAAAAACATCTTAGACAATTTCGGCCTTTTAAAGAAAATACTTTTTTAATTATTAGGTGTCCCATGTTGTTCTTCTATACAAAGCCTCTCGAAAATGCCTGAACATTAAATCTAGACAAAAGTTGATAATAACCAAGATATAGGGTGTTATAGTTGGGAGTTCGTTTTCGATTTTATTAAATAACTTTGGAAAAAACAAACGTTTTTGCACAAAATTTGAGTTTTGTGTTTTTTCAGGCCGGGAAACGTAAACTTAATTGTGTCAAATTATTTCGGTTTTGTAAAATCCACTCTCCAAAAAATGAATTAGGCAAAAATGAATAGTTACTACAGTTATTGGTGGCTCACTTATACCATGGTTAACCATGGGACACTATGGTATTCCCAACATTTAAAAGCCAAATCTTATCTAAAATTGTCCCCTGAATCCGAAAATACCGTAAAAAATTATGAAAGTTGAGCATTTTTTCAGATATAGTCAATTGCATATTATATGGAAAATTGGCTATATCTTAAAAACTTTTTTACTTTTCTAACTTTTGACAACATTTTCGGATTCAGGAGACAATTTTATATGAAAATTGACTGCTAAATGTTCGGGATACAAATTGCTATTGACGAGAATTATTATTGGCTGCTTTTTCGCTATGTCAATTAGTAATTTTTAACTAATTTATTTTTAGAAAGCACATATAATACTTATTTATTTATTTAATAGTATAGTTTTTATCAATAAGATTATTGCTCTCATGCTTGTTGTAACAATGTAACAGGTACTGAATGAAAATACCACGTAGCTATGACAACGGTTTGTTTCTATCGTAAACCAAAAACGCCGAAACCAGTTTTTTTCTACGTTTTTGCACAAAACTCTTTAAAATGAATCTTTTGATATTCAAGAAGAATAAACACGGTGAAAAGTAAAAATAATAATTTCTATTGCAATATAAATAGTTATACCTATTAGATTTTTATTAATTTACTATTTTTTGCATTCTTAATAGATGGATAGATAGAATTGGCTAAAATTCTCATAACCATTTTATTAAAGCAATTTCAAATTTTTAAAACGAATGCATAGTATGCAATGCATACCATACTTTATCTACGACTAACACAAACTTATGTTTTTTCATAATTTGTTTGACATTTAAATTGACATCTGTCAAACGGTTTTAACCTCACTTTTTCTTATTTAACTTAAAAATAACTTCAGCCCGAATATTTTCTCGCAGGACAAAGAAGGTTTTTATAAATTTATAAATTATTATAATAAGTATAACTTGATATTTTGATTGAAAATAATGTCTCTAACATTTTTAAATTTTTACAATCATTTCATTTTCAAAAAAAAAATCATAAAAAAATGATTAATTGCTAATTAATTTTGAGCGAAATTATTAGGTGAGTATTTAAGGCAATAAAATTTATCTTGAATAGTTTTATGAATATATGAATAGTATTATGTTTGATAAACGCCATTTTAGCAACGAGTGCTTAATTAAATGAGTGCCTGGAAAAGTTTATAAACAAGTTGCATACTATACTTTTTCTACGATAAAAACTTAATATTAGGTATATGGTTGATTAAAATTAAATATTTGTATAAAGGGGCCGTTCATTAATTACGTGAGACAATTTTGGGTATTTTTCAACCCCCCCTCCCCTTGGTGAGATGTGAGATTTTGCTCGACCCCCTCCACCCCTTAATCTCACGTGAGATTTTTAAAATGCATGGTTTTAATGTAAATAAGTTAATCTGTGCTTGATTCCATTAGATTTATTAAAAAAAACAATTTGCTTATAATTGTTTACTTAATTTAACCCAGTTTTCTTGCAATTTTACACTCTTTCTTTCGGAAAAAAAAAATTACGTGATATTTGCCGAGACCCCCCCTCCCCCACGTGAGATTTGGTAAGGTTTGGCTCGACCCCCTCCCCCCCTAAACACCTCACGTAATTAATGAACGGCCCCAAAGCGACTATACGAAAATAAAGTAAACATCCCAATAAACATTTTTGACGTAATATTCACAATTAACAATTATTTTAATTAAACTTAAGAATTAAACAGTAGTAACATCAAAAAGACACAAAAAATCGCCGGTACACGTAAACTTAATTATTATTGGGCGTAGAATCCAGTGGTGTAATCAGTTTTTTAAAGTTAGCTCGTTTTCTTAAGATATTTAATATTTAAGTTTTGGTTTATTATTTGTGTACATTTTGAGAAATGCCAAAAAGACACAAAAAAAACGCCGGGACATGTAAACCTAATTTTTGGGTGTAGAATTCAGTGGTGTAATCCGTTTTTTAAAATTAGGTCATAATCCCTCTTAAAATATCTTTATTTATTTTATTTATTTATAATTAACATTTTTGGCCAATTCCAATTTTAAAATCTATTAAAATTTATTTATTTCTAAAAAATTATTATTTATCAATAATAAACTTTTTTGTCAGTTAGTAGTATAAAATATTAAAATTAATTTATGTATATTTAAAAAAAAATAAAAAAACTACTTAAATAACAAGTTGTAAAGAATGTAAAAAATGTTTAATTTTATGCCTCTTTGAAGATTGACCAACAAAAATCAGCAAGCATCGAGTCGAATTTTTTGCCAGAAAACCGATCTTCAAATGTCATAGTGGTTTGATGAAATCGTTCACCAGCTTCATCGGATTCGGTTAAAAGTTGTTTTTCATAAAAATTAAAATGAGGATGCAAAATTTGAAGCTACATATTTATACTTACTTAACCACAAAACTATGTAGCAAAGAATTATTTCAATTGTAAAAACTAAAAACAACATTTATACAGGCTGTACTTAGTCAATTTACTAGTAAATGAAATTCTCAAATTTTATTATATTCGAATATTTCCCACTAATACCAGACAATAAAATTTACTAAAACAAATTTAATTACAAAAAAATAAATATGCGAAAAATCTAATAAAATTAAAAAAATATGAATATTATCGGCTTAAACACGAATTTAAGAGACAAACATTTATGAATTAAAAATAAATACAGACATTTTAAAACGGGTTATGCTATATTTTTCTTTAAAAATATAGCAAAATGGTGAAACAAAAAACTTAAATAATTAATATCTTGAGAAAACGAGCTAACTTTAAAAAACTGATTACACCACTGAATTCTACACCCAAAAGTTAGGTTTAAGTGTCCCGGCGTTTTTATGTGTCTTTTCAAAAGAAATTTACCTACAGTGTTGATACTTTAAAATATTAAAATAACCTCATAATTATGTTAATAAAATATTTTGTCCTTTGATTTTTTTATTGCTATAATTGCAAAATATTATGATAATAAAATAATTTTCACATTTAGTATTAATTTACAAGAAATGCACTTTATTTTAACGATTGTATGACGTTTGATAACTGTCAACTAACTTCAGCCCGTGACTAAAGCCACAACTTGTCAATGTGTATTTAAAAGGTCACTTAAGGTAAAAAAATATATAATAGTACTTACAAAAATAGGAACATCCGAAGGCTTCCCGTCGACTTTTCCCGCCACGTCACTCGTCGCCTTCATCCCGTAGTACTGCTCCCACACGCTCGGTTTGCTGTCTTTGGCAGCCAACAGCAGGCTTTTCTTCTTCACCGGCGTCGATCGGGTCCTCTCGAGCAGCTTTTCGGCGCCGGCGCCGCCCCTGTCCCTGATCAGCGTGCCGTAAATCATCGCGTTGCGCACGCCGTTCGACACGCCCGCGAAGTTGTCGTGGTGCACGAAGACGGGCAGCACGGCGCACGGGGGGTCTTTGGCCGTGTCGCTGAAGCCGCTCGAGGATGAGCCCGATGGTATGTGGTAGAGGTCCTCGGTTTCGGACGACAGGGTTCGAACACGACCTGAGTTTTGAATTTTTAGGTTATTTTCGCCGACTAAAACTGAATCTGAACTCTGTTCAGCACCTACAGGTCATAAACTGAATTCAGTTCATGACCTGTAGGTGCTAAACGGTGGTCAAAACTAAAGTATACGACGAACAAAAATGCCAACCAAAACTGATAGCATAATCTGATTATAGACACTTTTGGTAACACAAAAATGTATTTATCAAAATCCCAGCTGATCCTTAATTAAAGTTTTGCATATTTCTTAGTATTTTAAAATTGTTTATGCATGGCATGCCATTTCGATAAAATACTCTAGTACCATTATCAAATGTTTTTAAAAATTCGGCAGATACATGACTGAAATATGGATAAATTACATTATAAATACAAAATAATGTAAAATACAGTTTGCAATATCTTATTTATTGTTTTAAGGTACCTAATACAAAACAAATAAATAACTAAAGATTCTTTGAAGCAAAATCGATTACTGCTTGCATTAAATTTTCAGTAAAACTTTTTCTTGGGTTTTACATGGAATTGTTTTTAACATGGAAACAGTATTTTTAAATTCTTCAGTCTCTGTACAAACATGCTTCTTACATCTAGCGATATCCCCTAGAAAGGAAGAGCATATCAAAACTTTAGTTCGTTCGTACGTCCTCTTTCCTTAATAATTTTTTATGCCCTTTATATCTTGCCATTTTGCAGATAAAGCACATACATTCTTGGCTGCCGCGAAATTCTCTAGCAATTTCTAAATTTTGAAAATTTGGCAATTGTGGCTATGCAAAAATACCGTTTTTACCATATTGAAGTAGGTAATTTTGAATCACTTAAGTTAAAGTGTTCGTTTGTAAAAGTCTGCAGTAATTTTTATATTTTCTCAGAAACCCTAAACTCTGAATTTTTCGATTACCAAAAACAATTTTGTCTCCACAGCCAGCACATACCTTCTTTCAATTTTGTTCATGGCTTAGAGTTTCGGTTTAATTTTCATTTTAAAATACTATTTTTACTTTATAAAGTATACATTAAATAAACAACTAAAGCAAAATGTCACTTGCGTTATAACGTATAGCAATTTTTTTCATAACCACCTTAATTATTGTTTTACAAAATTGCATTGCATTATTTCATAGACAAACTTCCAGTATTTTTTGTTATAAAAAATATTTAAGATATAAATCTTCGTTTTTTTTGTTATGTTTTGTTTTGAGTGGTAAAAAATAATAGGTGACTCAATAAATTAATACTGGGGAGTAAAGTAATTTAAATAATACAACGTATATTATTTTGCCTAATTTTATTAAAATTGTACAGGTAGTTTTAGTACAATAATTGCAAAATAATATATAGAAATAGAAAAACAAAAAAGTTTACAAAACTTTAAAATAGGATCAGCTGGGATTTTGATAAATACATGTTAGTGTTACCAAAAGGGTCTATAATCAAAATATGCTATCAGTTTTGGTTGGCATTTTTGTTCGTCCTTTACTTAAGTTTTGACCACCGTGTGAACTGAGTACAGATTCAATATCAGTCGTAATCTATGTACACACAACCAAGATACACAAAAACCGGTATGCTGATTATGAAACGAAAACTCGTCGACTCCGCGCATGTGACGTCATGTGCGAACCAGATTCAAACGTTACAAAAAGTTTTGCTACCCTATGCACGGGTGTTTTACTACGATTTTTAAGTATAAGCCACGCACGATGGTTTTGCAACGTTTTTCGTAGTCGTTTTTACAACAGGAATATGAACTGAAACTCCAACACCCAACCTAACCTTAACCTAACATTAAATATTTTCGATTTTCAAAAAATAAATATCTGGCAGCACAGTAGATGCAAGGGAAAAAATAAAATGAAACTAAAAAACGGTAAGTAAAGGCAATTTTTGGTATACCCAATTTTTTAATGCTGGCATGAGTTCTTTATGCTATTTTATCTATTTTGCAAAAATTCTATAAAAAAAAATTAATTTTATACCTTAAATTTAATTTGGTCGAATTTTACTTTAGATAGTTGGTATCACAAAGTCTCGTAAGTACAAGAAAAATCATAAAAATATTATATCCAATATGCAAAATATTATGCTGTTTAAAGTTAGCCAACCTATAAAATCTAAATTTTGGGTGGGATAAAGCGGTGTTATAATGAAGTCATTATGAACTCAAAATAGATAAAAATGAAAACAAAACTGTATCGGAAACCGGTTTTAAAAGTGTCACAAGTTTTGAGATTTTTTTTTTACTTTTCACACCTGTATAAATGCATTTTTATAATTTTGTTACCTTTCACATTATAAAAATGTAAAATTTGGTCTAGCGTAAGTTAAGTTAATTCAATTAAATAAAAAAAAATTAAAAAAATAATAATAGGAAGGTAGGAAATTAATTGTTGCTTAAAATATGTTACATTAGTATTAAAAGCCCTTGCTGCCAATTTAACTTTCTCTTAACATTTGTTACACTTAATAATTGCATCGAAACCGTCGCTATATTTATAAATTTTCGAATATAACGTGAATTTTCAGTGCAAATAGCATTAAAATCCAGTTAAGCCGGGTCTACAATTGTCGCAGGGGTCCGATCGCAGAACATAAGCTTGCGCAAAGCACCCTGCGACGTGGCGATAAAGCAAGGTTCTTTTGTCAGCTGGGTGCTTTGCGCAAGCTTATGTACTGCGATCTGCGTCCTGCGACAATTGTAGACCCGGCTTTAACCCGCCAGCTTTTGGTTCGCACATGCGCATCAGCATACCGGTGTATCGTGCACACAACCAATCTAGTACAGTATTTTACTTAAAATAAAAGTAAGCACCTTATTCTAACCAATTTTATTACAAAAAAAAACATATTAAAACAAATTTTATATTGAACAGATAACAGAAAATGTAAATTTCTCTGAGAATAAACTTTACGGTAAATTAGAACTTACTAATTCATTTTTTGTAGTGGAATATTGTTTCTCGTAATTACTGGGCGATTCCATATAAGTTTGGTTGTGTGTATGTAATGAACGATTAATTAATATCAGTTATTTCATAACATGCAAGCTTACTCACTTTGAATGAAAACAATAAAATATAATTAGAAAATGTGTAGGTATAAATAATTTGGCAAATCGACCATAATATCTTTCAGCGATAATTATCTACTTAATAAAGTGGTTAAACTACATATCCACAATTTCTTTTAGAATGTAAAATGCAATTACAAAAAGAATCCATAGTCGATTAACGCTTAATGATGATGATGACTAATTGCTGTATTAGTCAGTTATTTTAAGGTGCTTGAAAAAGTTTACCATTTTAGCTCTGAAAATTTTGATGCAAGATTTAAACCATTTGTTGATGGCTGTATACGAGCCCTAACCACATAATGTTCGGACACTTCATAATTTATACAGAAATTTTTTTCGTGAATACTATCTCAAAATTATTAGAAGTTATGAAAAATTCAGCTTATTTTGGCATATACCCCTCGAAGCGATTTTTATTTTTAAAAAGTTTACCTTTTATTTTTAGCTTTTAAAAAAAGGCTAACTTTTTAACTTTTTTTTGCATGAGTAAAAAAAGTTATAAATGGGCCCATTAAAAAGAACATAAAATATTATACAAACCCTGAAAATTTGGTAAAAATTGTATAAATAATAAGAAAATTATAGCGATATATATATCTGCAAAATCTCCCGTTTCCTAAGAAAATTGCAAAAACTCTTTAAAAATAGCATTTTTAAATTACTTATACTTTTTTATAACTTATTTATTTTTTACCAAATTTTCAGGGTTTGTATAATATTTTATGCTCTTTTTAATGGGTCCATTTATAACTTTTTTTACTCATACAAAAAAAAGTTAAAAAGTTAGCCTTTTTTTAAAAGCTAAAAATAAAAGGTAAACTTTTTAAAAATAAAAATCGCTTCGAGGGGTATATGCCAAAATAAGCTGAATTTTTCATAACTTCTAATAATTTTGAGATAGTATTCACGAAAAAAATTTCTGTATAAATTATGAAGTGTCCGAACATTATGTGGTTAGGGCTCGTACAAGAAGAAGCTATTCAGGGTGTCACCTAATAAATTGTCATCCTTTGGGGGATGATAGTACACGTCAAAACAAGAAAGTTTTTTGCAAATTATGAAATTTTTTTGACAAATCCAGGGAGCCACTGGATCATCCAGTCTGGATGTCACTGACCTATCCTATACGAGGTGTGTTCAGAAAATAACGGGAATTATTAAATTTTGCGGGTACGGAGGGTCCGGTTGTCATAAAATTTTCTTTATTATATTGATATACATGCCCCCGAAGTATGATAAAAACTTTAGTTTTTTTCATTGTTTACTTTGTCTGTGGCAGCCGCTAAGGTTAGACATCAAAGAATTTGTATCCAATTTTGCTTAAAAAATGAAATAAATTCTGTGAAATGTTAACAAAGGCCTATAGTGAGTCTGCTATAAGTAAAACAAGAGTTTACAAGTGATATAAGAGCTTCCAAGATTGCCGTGAAGACGTTGAAGATGACGAACGCACAAGCACATTAACAACCGATAAAAACATGGAAAAAGTGAAAAAAAATGGTTATAAACCATCAGAGAAGTCGCTGATGATGTTGATATATCGATTGGCTCATGCCATGAAATTTTTTCGAATGTTTTGTATGAAACGCGTGGCAGCAAAATTTGTTCTAAAATTGTTAAATGATGAACAAAATTTTTGGCCAAAAACAATACTATAATGATGCCCCAGCCTCCATATTCACCATACATGCCTCTGTCTGACTTTTTCATATTCCCAAAAATAAAGAGAACCTTAAAGGGCCGTCGTTTTGCAAGCATAGATGACATTAAAAGCCCATCGCTGAAAGAACTAAAGGCTATCCCAAAGATCGAGTTTTAGAAGTGTTTCGAGTATTGGAAGAAGAGCTTGCACATGTGCATATTATCCAATGGGGACTATTTTGAAGGCGACAACATTAATGTAGACGAATAAATAAATATTTGTTTCAAAAAACGAAAATTCCCGATATTTTCTGAACTCACCTCGTATCATTGTTTTTACCTCTAAAAACAATAACATTATTTATCAAAGCAAAAAAGAAACAGGTATGCGCACAGTGTATTATATAATATCAAGTAAACTTTCAAATTTATTCAAAATTGATTACCGACAGTTCGGTTATTGAGATTGAAGATAATAACGGCAGGATAGTTGAACATATATTATGATTTTGTGGAACACTTAAAAAATTAGCTACATGAGCATCAATCGTGTAAAAAGTGAAAGTTGAAATTTAAAATCGACGGGAAAACCACGAAAATCTCGAGATACCTAACGCAAATGTAAATTTTTAATGAATGTAGATTATTGCACTAATGCAAAAATGATAAAGGAAAAACTTTCTTATTTTGGCGTATACTATCATCACCTTAAAGGATGACAACCCTGTGTTTTTGGATGCCAAAAATAGATAAAGTGTTAACTTACCACTACTGTAGTCCGGAATGCTTTGGCTGGAGTTGCCACTGGAACTGGAATGACTAAATGCCCTTAGGACCGAATTCATTTTCCTACAATTACTTAAATTAACACACAGCTTTTTCATCTCGTCCTCCGTTGCATTCCTTAAAGCTTCCAATTTCGAAATCAACCTCTCGTTGACGCTTTTCAACATATCTTCAGGCGACATCCCAGTTTTACCCTCCAAAGTAGCATTGATATTGTTCAACAACTCCACTAGAAGATCCTTGACCGATAAATCCACGTAGCTCTCCAGGCACTTTGATTTCTCCGGCGAATAATTCAAACTCGTGTACAGTAGCAAAGCATCGTCGACGAGGGAATCGTACTGGTCTAAGAGCTTCTCGTCCAACGGCCATATCGGTTTGGGTATGACGTCGACTCTGCCTTCTGGGATCGTGGTCAAAGTCCCGTTGCCAGATGAGCTCGACGTCAGAGATGGCACTTGAATTTTCGACTGCTTGGCGCGCGTCCTGGCCACCTTGATGCTGCGCACGTACGTCGGGTTCTGTTCCAGCGTCACGCCGCTGTCGTTTTGCAGTTTGAGCCGTTCCAGGTAGAGGGCGTCCAGGCTGCTGCCTCCGTGGCTGCCTCCGTATCCCGAGGAGTTTGACTTGTTGCCGAACGCTGGCGAGGTGGTCGAAGAGTGGTTTGGAAGTTTGTTTCCGTTTTGAGGGTCGTTTGAGGGTTCTCGAAATAAAGGGTTCACCCTGAAACAAAATAAAATTGTGATCATTTTATACTACTACCATCAAGTTTTTCATTTTATAATTTTAAAGAAATTTTTAAAAATATTATTGCAAAAAGAACTATTATTGTAAAATGCTTTGTTTTAGTTTTTTTATAATACATGCAAAACTCAGGGTTATCTATAAGCAGTGCCGGAGCAACCTTAAGGCAAACAAGGCAAAATCCTAGGGTGGCAAAATCAGGGGGCGGTAAAATCAGGGAGCGGAAAAAATCATATGGGATAAAATATACTGAACTTGTATTTGAATTTTCCAAGTTAAAAGCGAAAAAATAATAATAATAATAAATATTCAATAATAATACAATAATTAATATAGTAATTCTTAAATTTCAAGCATTTTTTCATTACTAGTCATTACTAGTCCTAAAATATATTTTACTAAGCTTATGCAGTTTATGTATATTATAAAAAAAAGTAAATATGGCATGGTTAAAATACAGTAATTCTTAAGTTTTAAGCATCTTTATTTATATATTATAGTTTTTTTGGTCATAATAAACAAACAGTTTTATGCCTAGAGCGGCAGGTTTGCTTGCGCCGGCCCTGCCTATAAACCACACAAAAAATAAACAGCCCATATATTTCTCCTTTAAAACATTATCTTTTGTGAAGACATTTTTATATTAATAGCAATTACTTTACTTTAAAAGGTATTTGCCTTAAAAATGTGTTCCCACCAGTGCCGGTTTAACAGGGTTTTTTTGGGGACTATAGCACCGGGCGGTAAATATTTTTGGGGCGGTACCGCGTACCGCCCATAATTTTTTAAAAAAATACTTAATCGTTAGAATTTAGAAAAAAAATTATTGCGGCATCACTAACTTAGAGTTGAAGCAGCTTCTCCATCAGAAAAACTTGATTTATTGGAAACGGAATAATTTTAACTTTTTGGATAGACGTTTTGCAAAGGGTTAATAAAACCAATAAAGCAGTCCAAAATCAAAATATGGATTTAAGCACAAATGCTCATCTTCTGTCATTTTTAGTTGAGAACTTTGATTTTTTACGTGATCATTTTGATCATTACGAGGAAATTAACAGGAAACTCAAATGCTCAGAAGCGGATAATCATAAGAAAATTACAATTTGAAGAAATAATTCAGAGGCAAAAAAGAAACAATGCGAAGAACAATATGTTTTATTTTAATAATTGTCAATCTATAATCCGAAATCTTTTGTCGATATGATAGCTAGAAATCTGGCACAAACAAATTTGAATTTTTTCTAAAAGCATAAATCTTCGTGGAGGATTTGGATGAACTTTTTCCTCAAAAATGTGTCCAACTCAAGAAACTGGTAACTTCCCTTTCGGAAATAAAAATAGAAACTTTATTGGAAGTATAAGTTTTATACGAAAATAAATTAATATCTTCATTTCCGAATATTAATATTTGTCTGCGATTTTTTTTATAATGGTTTCAAAAGTGGTGAACGATCTTTCTCTACTCTAAAAAGGGTAAAGAACTACCTAAGAAATACAATTCCCCAAGAAAGATTTAACTCCTTAGCAATTCTGTCCATTTATCAAGACCTGCTAGATAAAATAAATGTTAAGTGTTAAAAAAAACAATTTGCTACTATAAAGACTTGAAAACAACCTTTTAATTATTAGTAGGTATTAGGATTTCTCAATATTTATTTAAACCAAAGAATAATGTTTTAATTATTTATAACTTTTGATTCGTTTTTATTAGTTTAATGAAACAAAATATTAAACTTTTATTTTTAATTAGTTTTTCTTAGTACTTGATATTGTTTATAAAGGGTGTCCAATTAAGAGCGCTCTAACTTTAAAATGAAATAAAACCAACTACACTTAAGATATTAGGAAAAAAATATATTTATTTAAAAGAACATCCTATGGCATTCATTATGAAAAATAACATCTTTCAAATGCCCCCCGCAGCTGCGCTCCACAGCGCGCATTCTGCAGGTCCAATTTTCTATCACTTTTTCGCACATTTAGTGTTCGATTTCATTTACATATTATACGAGTTATGTTGGCCTTCAGTGCTTCAATTGTTCGTGGCTTACTCACGTACACAAGGGACTTTACGTAGCCCCACAAAAAAAAGTCCAGCGGCGTTAGATCGCATGATCTCGCCACTGGATATCGCCGCCGCGTGAAATGACGCCGTTGAATTTTTCATGCGGCGGCGATATCCAGTGGCCACCGAGATCATGCAACTTTTTTTTGTTGGGCTACGTAAAGTCCCTTGTGTACGTGAATAAGCCACGAACAATTGAAGCACTGAAGGCCAACATAACTCGTATAATAAATGAAATCGAACCCGAAATGTGCGAAAAAGTGATAGAAAATTGGACCTGCAGAATGCGCGCTGTGGAGCGCAGCCGCGGGGGGCATTTGAAAGATGTTATTTTTCATAATTAATGCCATAGGATGTTCTTTTAAATAAATATATTTTTTTCCCAATATCTTAAGTGTAGTTGGTTTTATTTCATTTTAAAGTTAGAGCGCTCTTAATTGGACACCCTTTATAAACCAAATAATGTTTTATTTTTTAGTTAGTGCATTTGATTAGTTTTTATAATTTGTTTATAAGGCTCATTTTCTATTTTATAGGATACTAAGTTTACTGTTATATATACCAGCCTAACCAACCTAATCTTCCACTTGACGTGAGAAAGTAAGACTTAAAAATTTAAAAATGTTTTTAAAAAAGTAATATTTTAAAGCATTGGGCGTTGTGTTTGTGCTAGAACCGGGCGGCGAACTAACTTAAACCGGCACTCGTTCCCACCCAAGTAGCACAACTGGTTAAATTAATTAAATTAACTTTAAATTTGCGTTAAATTCATTTAAATAATATTGCACTACAACGTTATTTTGTTAAAAGTGGGGAATTCAATTATGGTAAAATAAACGTTATGTTAGTTAAATGTAACTTCTTGGTTACCTTTTGGCTAAAAAAAGTTAATATTTGGTAGGTTTTGGTTTGTTTTAGCCTTTTTTAACTACTTTTTAACTTAAAGTATAATTAATAATAATTAATCTAAGTTTATTTTAAATCTATATAATTGAGGGGCTTGGAAGTAAAACGGTTCAAGTGCACTTTTTTAAATAAATGGTCTAAGTGCAGAATATCACACCTAAAGAATATTCTAACTTAGTGGTAAAATTATATAAGTACATTTTACATTCCCTGGCGCCATTTCTTATTGTCTTTAAAAACCTGTCAAAATATTTTAAAATATATCTTTGGTAAAACGATTTAAGTGCCCCTTTTACTGCTAAACATAGGCTATTATCTATGCTACTAAACCCTTGACAAGTATTTTAAAACATGTCAAGTGATTACGTGTTTTCACAGATATTTTTTAGTGTTAGTCCCTACTGACATTGATCCGACGTCTGAATAGAATCGGCCATAGGATGTCGGCCAGCAGACGTCGGATTCTGATTATAAATAATAGTTTTTGTTGTAAAACCCAAATTTTAAAAAATAAAGTTTTGTTCTAGTACAGTAATTGCATTTAAATCATTTTACCACTAAATTTTGTATTACATGGATGACGATTTAAGTACATTTTTGTAAAAAAAAATAACAAAAAAGCTAAATTGAAAAATTCCTTTTTCTTTATAATCCTTTTTTGTCTTAAAACAAAACTAAAATATTCACACAGTTTTTTAAACTCTTTTCTACAATTTTATAATTCAAGTTAACTTTAAAGCCATTTATCTCAGAACTAACAAAAATGCACTTAAACCCTTTTACTTCTAGGCCCCTCAATTATAATTTAGCAAATATGGTTATGTATATCTATAGATATGACTAACAGTTCCTTAAAATAAAATGTCGCTCCTGAATATTAATACTTATATACGAGTATATAATTTTTTGACTATTTTTTCTTTATTTCCTTTGAAATTAATTTCAAATACTTTTAAACATAAAATAATATTATGTTTTATTATTGGTCTGTTACCTTATTTTTAATAATTAATTAATAAAATTAATGACATAGTCATAGTCCTTTAGTTAGAATGGACAGCAAACAATATGGCGATTTTGGGATGCTTTTACTTATTGGTTATATTACCAATATAAATTAACCTGCAAGTTTTTTTAACCATTTGGTTATTTTATTGTGTTTAATTAAACTACTTTATTTACCTATCGGTAGTTTATAACTTTTAGGTTTTGATTTAAAATTTAAATTTAAATTCGGTTAATGTAACACTAACCTAAATAAATTTCCGCCGATCTTACGTTCCTTCTGATTTTAGTTGCAGCCCTGCTTTATTTTTATAAAACTCATCTGTTCTGTTATAAAACCTATAGATGCTTGCCAAATTAATTAAATGTGAGGGGATCTTCTATAGTAAGTTGAAGAAAGTCCATATTTTTTTAAATTATTTCTGTTAGGCTCCATTCTTACACAAAACTCTCATCTTATAGGTTTATATATAAAGCTGTATTGAGACTAATTTTTTTATGCAGGTAGCAATAAAAACTGCAAAACCATCACTTTTTTAACCAGTTTATTAATTAACGTTAATTTACCAGCGAATTAAAAAAAATTCGGAAAAATATAACTTATTGGTTAAAAAAATTTATAAAAATTAACAAAAGCTGTAGTTAATTTTAAAAAAAGTATTAAAAGTCTTAACCATTTTTAAAGGTTAAAATAAGAAGTTAACCTTATGTAACTTCTAAAATAACCTACTTTTTAAATTTACTATTTATAGTTATAGTTAAATATTTGGTTTAAATTTTCTATTTATAGTTATAGTTAAATATTTGGTTTATTGATAAATAAACCAAATATTTAACTAGTTAGTAATATTACCAATAAGTTTCTTTTATAAGTTATATTATTATATTATAGCAACCGGTGGGAAAAATTTACAGGGTAATTTTTTAGTTCATAGTAACCTTAAAAAATGTTAAATACAACTAATTGGTTAAAAAACAAGTTTATTTTATTTAGATTTTTCTTAATTTACTTGGAATACTAGTTATTTAAACAGTTGTGCTACTTGAGAAATTTGATTAGATTTTTATTATACTATAAGATTGGGAACATTTAAAAGCTAGAAAGCACTGATGATTTAATTTGGCACTTACACTTAATAATAATTATTAATTAAAAATATAAAAACCTATTATTATAATAAAAGGCTGTTATCTTTTTGGTTCGTGTATTTTCTCATGCTGTTAGTTTAACAAGCCCCTTATTGTTAGGCATACCTATCTTAAAATTTCATCATTTTTAAAAAATTATATTTGAACAATATTAATACTAAGCATGTCTGAACTTTCTCAAATATTATTAGTACTTGATTGACATAAAAAAAATAATTATTTTTAACGAAATATTGCGTAAATACTTTGTTTATATTTTATTATTAAACCAAAACTTAAAAAAAGTATATATTATATAATGTCATTAAATTTATTAAAATTTTGACATAATATACCATTATTCTTGCCACTTCAAATAATTGGCAGGCTAATTTACAATAATTTCTCTAGAACAACTAGAGTTTAGTTAAAAATTTAAATAAAAATGACTTTCATAAACATTATAGTAAAAACGCATGAATAGTAAAAAATTATATATTAATATTTTAAAATGATAATAATTATAAAAAATAATGGCATGGCATACAAAATTATCCATAACAAATTCAATAAACGTCTTAAACAGAACAGAAAGAAAAGTACCACTTTGCATAAAATTTCCTAATTTAGTTATCGTTTATGGTTGAACACGAAAATTTGAATAAGAAATTATGTATAGTAATAATGCACTATATGGTGTATAAATAAGTTGGAAACATGTAGGGTATTCCCAAAATAAAAAAAAATATTTAAACTGTCCATTAAAATTTTAATAGATCATCTTAAATAATAAATCTCAGTAAAATATAAGCTCATAATATAACAATTTAGAGGTGCCCATTTTATTTTTATAGAGCGTTTTCTAAAAGAACCTGTATTTAGAAATGAGAAAAAAAATTAAAAAATTAAGAATAAATTATAATAGTATTTTATTTATACGAGAGATAACTCTTCTTTACTTTATGTACTTCAATAAGTAATTAAATGATTTTCAAAAATAAATAAATAAAATCTGACATCTGTCAAATGGCTAACCTCACTTTTTACCAATTTTAAAATTTACGAGATTGTGGGATATTTTTAATAGTATATTATGTATCAAGTTTGATAAACGCCATTTTATACACGAATTTAATTTAGGCACAAGCGAGTTTGCTAGCGAGTGCTAAAAATTAATGAGTGTATAGAAAAGTTTATAAACGAGGTGCATACTATACTTTTTCTACGAAAAATACTTATTATTATCTTAAAATGATTTAAATCAAAAATTTGTATAGAGCGCCATCTATGAAACAATAGGGGAATCTGTGTGTCACCGTCAAATGTCAAATTTTTATATTTTATAAACACAGATTATAAAGGTTATAAATCGAAATGTATTTCTTAAAAATTGACAGTTTTTTACAGTGAACGTAAAGAAAATGTTTTATGAGCATTTTACAGTATAGTTTAATGTTCATATAAACTTTTCAAATATTGGCGTTGAGAAACTATTTAATACTTTTGTATTTTTGTGTTGAGATAATAAAATAATTTTCACATTTAGTATTATTTTACAAGAAAGGCACTTTATTTTAACGATTGTATGACATTTGACAACTGTCAACTTACTGAAAAACTAACTTCAGCCCGTGACTAAAGCCACAAATTGTCAATGTATATTTAAAAGGTCACTTAGTGTCATGGAAACATGTACGATAAAGGGCGTTTTAAAGGTGGGAGTAGAAAAAATCATTTAATAATAAAAAAATATCTACCTATTTTCTTACAATTTTTTGTAAAACTTGGTTAAAATATATTGTAACATATTGTTACAAATGAGTGAGTAAAACTTTTAATTCTCTGTCTATTTTAAAAATCGAGTTAAAAATATATAATTTTTCGATATTAAAAAAACAAATTGAATTGTTAATTTAAATAATAACAATCATAATAAACGTATTACTCTTGACTCCTGAGCATAGAAACTTGATCATTGAAGAATGGTTGTGCACTAGTTAACTTCACTGTCACTTCCCCATATAATTAACTCGTTTTGTTTTACAGTAAGTTTTTGTGATATAGAATTGAAGGTATTTAAATATTAAATCAGTTTCATTACCATTTATATTCCGCGTGCCACACGACAAATGTTAATTATGTAAAACAATAAAAGCAAACTTGCATAATGGAGTTTCTAATCTCTTTAGATTATTATAATATTATGTAGTTTATAAAGAAGGTACCATTTTATTTAGAGTATCGAATATCAGTTTCTGATTTATGATATTTAAATTTTTCATTGGTAATACAAGTTTCTAATAAAATAGAGGGCTTGAATTAAAAATTAATTTAAAAATTCTAACTTTGGGAATACCTCAAAAGGGTAAAAAGTAAGAAAAAACCTTGTTTGAAATAAAAAATATGTTTTTTTACCTTTTAAGGATTTTTTCTGTTTTTTTAAGTGGTCGGGGCTCAGGTTAAAAAAATAATTTAAATATCTAAAACTTTGGGAGTAAAGTCAAAAAAGTCAAAAAACCTCGTTTGAACAAAAAAATATAATTTTTTTCCACTTTTTTTTTACTTTTTTTAAGTGGACGGCCCTCAGGTAAAAAATTAATTTAAAAAATTGTCACAGTTGACCTTTTGAAGGTATAATAACCGTACAAAATTACTAAAAACGAGTTTGATTAAGTACGAGCGAAGCTTGCGAGCGAGTGTTTAATAAAAACGAGTGTATAGAGAAGTTTATAAACAAGTTGCATAATATACTTTTTCTACTTCCACCTTTAAAACGCCCTTTATCGTACATGTGTCCATGACACTAAGTGACCTTTTAAATACTCATTGACAAGTTGTGGCTTTATGGCGCTTTAGTCACGGGCTGAAGTTAGCAACAGGTTTTTAGTCACGGGCTGAAGTTTTAAGTTAGTTGACAGTTGTCAAATGTCATACAATCGTTAAAATAAAGTGCCTCTCTTGTAAAATAATACTAAACGTGAAAATTATTTTATTATCTCAATACAAAAATACAAAAATATTAATTAGTTTCTGAACGCCAATATTTGAAATGTTTATATGAACATTGTACTGACCTTTTAATTTCGCCGGCAGTAAACTATAACTTAAATTCGGGCACGGACTCTACTGTAAAGTCCTCATAAAACATTTCCTTTACTTTCACTGTGAAAAACTGTCAATTTTCAATATACCTACATTTCGATTTATAACCTTTATAATTGTGTTTATAAAATGTAAAAAATGTGACATTTGACAGTTTCCCCTGTTGTTTCATAGATGACGCTCTATACAAATTTGTGATTAAATCATTTTAAGATAATAATAAGTATTTGTCGTAGAAAAAGTATAGTATGCACCTCGTTTATAAACTTTTCTATACACTCATTAATTTAAGAACTCGCTCGCAAGCTCGCTCGTGCCTAAATTAAATTCGTGTATAAAATGGCGTTTATCAAACTTGATACATAATATACTATTATCTATTTTGCGTTCATAATGACTTCATTGTAACACCGCACAAAACAAAATTTATAGCCAATTTTATTTGTTATGTTGTTTGTTGACATCTGTCAACTGTCATCAGAATTTAACCTCACTTTTTCCCAATTTATAATAAAGCTAACTTCAGAACCTTGACTAAAACCCCAACTTTTTAAACACACCTTAAAATGTTTAAGCTATTTACATTTATACAGACAGAAGCAAAAATAATAACACTTCTACAGACAAGATCTTCATCAAATTCAAATTTTTAATCGTCTTCTTGTATATAGAATGCTTTATTAACAAAAGTAGTAGTAGTAGTAGTAAAACTAAAAAACTATAGCTACTTACCCGACACCGTTACTAGCAGAAGAAGGATCGATAGAAGCAGAAGAAGCCTCGTTAGCACCGTTGTTCTTCAAAGTTACCCTCGGTAAATAAACTGACCTGGTAACAATAGGTCACCAATAAGGAACAATTGTGTATTATGTACATTTTATTTTATGCATTATGTTAATGTGGAAGGACTGTTAATGGTGATAAAATTATTACCTTCGATTAGTTTTACACAATAAAAATATTTTAAGACAAAACACAGTAAGCATTAATATTTTTTATTGCTTGGTATTGTTAATACCGAATCATAAGTTTTCATATTAGGGTGTCCGTTATTTCCCAAGTAAGCTTTTTATTTGTTTACAGTCTAAAAACATTTTTACATCATAAGAAAAACTTCACAACTCGTTTGGGTTGGCAGTTATAAACTGTATTTTGTTTTTTTCAATTTTCACAAAATAAAAGAGGCTAGGTATGTTATTTGTTTTGTAGTGTCAAAAAATTAAAAATTTCAAACTTTGACCTCCGATATCATTTAAATGGATGGTTAAAAAACGTTAAAGACCTTTTTTGTAAAGCGTAAAATTTCCTAACACAATATGTTTTTATTGTGTTGCATGTCTATTTACTAGCTAGTTATTTTTCTTATGTCATTAAAATGTCATTTAGGCTGGTCAAACGACTTCGAATTATTTTTTTAAAATTGTTTTTAGACAAAATAAATAATTTAGATGATCCCAAGTTATATTTAAAAAAGTTATTAAACAAAAACTCCAGTTCCCTATTTAACAGCAATTTTTTTTATTTTAGTTTGCGTGTCTTTTGTATTTCAAGGATATTTTATAATACACAGGGTGTAATAGGTATATAAAACCTACCAGAAAATAAATAAGTTTATTTAAGGAGGTTCGAGCAATGTACGGGAAAGGGGGGTTGCTATTATACTTAATTCATAAATAGCGATATGTACCAATTTAAAAACCAGCCGCCAATTTTCTAACTGATTTTAAAATTATTTTTTATTTTATTACAAAATGCACTATATATATATATATATATATATATATATATATTTGGGTGAATATATTGAGATCTCCCCCAAGTGAAAATGATTATTTTTTATTTTTGGTTGTTTCACTGTTAGTCTAGAATGGGGTTTTTGGGTAGCCACCAGGTCTAGTAATAACATAACATAAGTGGTTCTGCACTAATGCAAGAATTTTAAGAAATCAAACATTTTGAATATTAGAGCTTCACGGAAGAAAGCTTCACGGAGGTTAGAATTTCGTATGTTTTTTTAAACATCCCTTTTTATATTTGAAATAAGTTATTGTATCTTTTGACACCTTAATATTAAAAAAAAATACAATTTTACATACATAAAATACTGAGATATTACACTTTTTAAATAACAAATTAATGAACTTAAACTTTTGAATTATAAAACAGCAACACTCTCATCTGCATATAAATTCTAACTGACCTTCAGGAATCACATGCATCTATAATGTCGTAAACAGAGGTTTTTGCTTATTTAAAATGATTAAAGCGCCATCCGTTGCATAAAATTTAAAGCAAAAACAGATTCACGGAGGATATAATCAATTTTTGTAACAGCTTCATAAATGGTTATAAACATTTTTTCTTTTAATTTTTAATAATATTTTATTTATATTTGATTCTATTGCTTTGGATGTGTTTAATTTACTTAGTGAACTGATAACAGTCACGTAGGATAGGTTTTAGACTTTTAAAACATTGTAAAAAATAATTAATGGCGGTTAAAAATCTGGAACCCAAGCTGTAATATCTACTTAATTATGAAAGATGAAAACACAATAAAAGTGTAGGTCAAACTCATTTAGTTTTATTAAATATCACGGGGTAACACCATCGGGGGAAATTTCGTGAGATTCACCCATTTGCATTGTTATTGTAAACAAAAAAGAAAAATGATTTTTTTCATGTAAATGGACGTAATTGCATATTTGAACGTGGTTTTTAGTTCCGATCAACTTTTTTTAATAAGAATTTTCGATATTGTCAAATATAAAGGTACTTTACCTACTTTTACTCAATTGAGTAAGATTCACATTTTTTGACAAACCGCGTAGGCGACTTAAATTTTTTTATATCTGATGATTGTATTTTAGATTTTAGAACATGCAGAAGTTTTTATGAAGAATAACCTTTTTTCTTAAAACTAATAATAAAAAAGTTTCCCATATGTTGCCAACTTAAGTAGACACACTGTATATTGTAACACAAGAACGAGCATTAAAAAAACGTAAAAAATAGGATGTAAACGCGACAACACTGGCAGAGAGAAGGATTGTCTAATTATTTAAAAAAAACAAACTTAATACAATTGAGTTTTTTTAAATAATTTTCTATAAAAACGTAATTATGGTAGTCGCCAAATAAATCAAACCAAATATTAAGTGTTTGTAATCCAATGTTGCCGGATCTTCTAGACGAGAATGACAGATTGATAATTTTCATTGAACACAGTAAACATTATCGGTTCTTATTGTAAAACTGTTTGGTGAAAGTTAACAAAATTTTATATAGTACTTCAATTCATAAATTTCTCAATGTCACGTTTTCAATTAAGGCATATCTTATACCATAACAATAAGAAATCGATTTTTTTCTCGTATGCACTTATACCTGTAGTAGTGGAATATAAACATTCACAACACACTTTGGCAATAATAAACGATAACAGCCCATGTAGCGTAAGCAATTTTATAATTTTGTACTCAGAACTTTTTAACAACCTAGAATGCCCAAACCTCCTTAAAGTAATCTTTTCTATGTAAAACGCTGGGCTATTTTTTCCAACAAATTTGTGAATAACATGTTTGTAATACCTGTTTAGCTTATCAGTACCTACAGAATTACATATTTACAATATTAATTACCTAATACCAACATGCATAATTTTATTTATCCACATGTACATTATATGTACAAAATTTATACTAATTTACATAATTTATTGCCAATCTTTCCTCATAAATAATGGTATTTTATACTTGAAAGTTTAACAACATTAATAATGATTCGGATATTATCTCATTATTGTTAAATTCAACTACAAAAAACGAGTAGGTACTTTAAACAATATGTTTACATCCCATTTTTTGCCAATGCCATGTCATAAATCTTAAGAGAAAAAAATATTCAATTTTGGCAAAATGTAAAATTATTAAAAAATGTCAAGTTACCTACCGAAAGTATTTCTATTTTATATATAGTTTTTAAAATTATAATAAAACTTTAAAATTAACTTTTTTAAGTAATTAATTTTTTAAAAATTGAATTTGTGTTTCTTTTTTTTTTTCGTCGCGATATTACTTTTTAGGTTGAAAATAATTTTGAAAATTTCAAATCGATACTTTGATTTCTAAAGGTCGCTAAAAGTTTGTTGATATTAATATTTAGAAGTCTTTTAAAGTTAAAAAAATCTTGAGCGACCTTCAATCAAAATATCGATTTGAAGTTTTCAGAATCCTTATTATTTTCAAATTTAAAAATAATATCGGAACGAGAAAACAAATTTTTGACGATTTTCGAAATTTTTAAAAATCTTGAGAGACCCGTAAAAATTTTTAATCGAGCTGATTTTTTGACGGGGCTCTTAAAACATGAAAACAAACTTATTTTCACAAGAGACGAGAAAAAAAATATTCTTTTTGTTTAGGCCACCCTAATATATATTTCAGAAACAATAGGCAACCAATTTGGATGAAAGGCATTTCAGTCTTTGCAATGTATAAATATATATATATATATACATCCCGCTTACAATGCTGCATCATTTCAAAGTACCGTCATTATAGCGTCTACCAGAAATACTGCATTATATCGTGATTTAACATTGCAGAAGTGTTAATTAGACAAAATAATGACCGAATTTAACGTTAAATGTTTATAAACCCTTTTTTAAACTAAAAATTCATGTTACTATCATTGCTGCTTCTTTTTATTTTGCCATCATTTCTGCGTCGATGTATATCGAATTTGTTAAACCATCATTGCTGCAACAAAAGTGAATATTTTTTTCAACTCCCCCGTCTTTTCTGCGTCACCCATGTTGCCAGATCTTGTCGACGCATCATTGATGGTCTTTCGTACTAGGATTTGAATATTAAATTTATTAAAATAAATATTTAAAATCATAATACCCAATAATTTCGTTGTGCGTTGTGACTTGTTTTTAGCGCATATACTCGTATATCAACGCTCACAAATAAAAGGCAAAATATAAGTTCTTTAGAAATAAAATGATAAATTTGTTATGTATAATTTGTTGTCATTCAATAGTTTAAGGTAGTCTGGATAAATTAAATTTTTTAGCTTTAAAGGATGTGCAGAAAAAATTCTAGCGTACGGGATTAATTTTTGATATGTTAAATTAACATACAAAATGTATGCCACTGACATTTTTAATTTTTGATAGCATAATAACATAATACAATTATGATAATTGTAGACAATAAGGTTCCCTATTGATATTTTTGTTATTAAATATTTTATTAGATTTAGCTAAGAAATTAATTAATATTTCCAAATAAGCCTTAGATATTCGCAGGACCGTTTTTAACGTTTTCTCCGTCGGGGTGGGTAATAAAATTTGCCGCTCTAATGTATAATGTATAATATAAATTGTTTATAATATAATATATATTTATACATATTTATACGCCTCCTTAGATTAGGAGCACTTTTTTAATTACAATTTATTACAATTTATAAAATATTCACGGGCCAAAGCATTTTTTAAATTGTAATTTAAAAAGTGCTCCTAATCTAAGGAGGCGTTTTTACCAAAACCTTGAATAAAAAAGGGATTATTTTAAAGGATTTTTAAATCTTTATTTAACTACGTCTTAGAATAAGTCAAAACGGTTTAAACTTTCCAATTTTTGTTTTTTATCAATATTAATCAATTTAGGAGTAACGAATATTTATAATTTAAATTTGTTTAAACTTTTTGCCTTTTTAAAATATAAAGGGCCAAATTGTATGTAAAAAACTAAGGATGGTGTCTTTTTAATATTTTGAAAACGTCACATTTTTGTCCTAGGACAGCCGTTTACTTTCCG